ATAATATGTTACATAGTCTGTACGCACCTTTAGGATATAATATATATGTCACCGTAAAATTGTAAATACTGTTAGGTTGTAATCTATCTCGCGAGATTGTGAACTGTCGAAAGATTGTGAATCTCAACGTACTTACTGCTTACAATTTAACGTATTATTATTCGGTAAATTGTAATCTATCGAAGTGAAACCGTTTAAATAAGAATACATTGATTTCGACGTCATTTATTCATAAAGATAATCTCATAAATGAACGCACTAAATTACAATAATTTTTGAGATATGTCACTTACAACTAATCAGTGGTGTATGTTATATTAGAACATCGAAAACAATATAAATAGTAGTTCAAACAATATCAAACATACTAAAGTATCTACGTTGTGAAAGTAAGAGTTACAATTTGTCCAAATAATAACACCACCACTTTTGCACTATACGCACGTGTTATAATTAATGAAAATCTTCACAAATTTGGTTTTTCTTCAAAATTGACAACCATTTTAAAATACAATTAAATACATTCAATTATAACACGCGACGCCAATAAAAGCTACAATACACTATTGTAATAAGATCAATGTTATTGGAAGACAAATCGTATGGCATATAATATTTTAGTATAATATTTATCATTATAAATGCACCGATATATAACGCTAAGAACGTGGGAACAGCTACAGGGATCCATTACAAAATATTAGGAAAATAGACATCTCAATTATTTGAAAACACTTCAGAAACTTTTAGCTTTCGCTCATTAGTTAATTGCGGAAGAGTTGGTACTATATCGCTGATAATAAGCTGCCAGACTGTTTATATAAATATTTGTTATAGACTAGTAAAACTACTTCAACTGTATCCAGTAATAGCTGAGCAGAGGAGTTGCGCTGGTGATTTCCTCGCTCAACGAATTAGTATCGCAATACAGCGAGAAAATGCTGCCAGCGTCACTGTATATTTGTGTGTTGGAAATAAATATCATACGTTTTATCATAGTTGCAAAAAAAATGAAGTTATTAAAAGCGTTTGGCCTATGTTCGGTTTTTGGTGAGACTTAGGCACTCCATTGAACCAGAATATATCAGCGCATATAGTAACACACCGCAAGATATCCAAACAAAGTGCAAGATATAGTGGTACGTGTAATTCGAAAACGATTAGCATTTGTATAAAATTCGAAAATACAAAAGCAAGAGATTCAAAAACTAAAGCTTTATACAGCACTAAGCGTAGATTAAGAACTATATTAAACGTTGTACAAAACTAGAACTAAAAACGTTTCTTTTTAGTTAGTTTGTGTACAACAGAACACTAACAAACTAAACATGATCGAACAGCGATCAATATACAACTTATAACTAATCTGATTAAACGATATGTTAGAGTAATTGATGAGTATAATGTTTTAAAGAAATAGCCTTCACAATTAAGCGTTACACACAGCAAACCTTAACTAGCAAAACTTGGTACTAGTGTTTATATACTTAAGTCTGTTATAACTTATTTACTTACACATTTCGGGCAAATATTACAACTTCACCCTTGCCTTAAATCGTAGTAAAAATATATTTGATGTTACATGTAAAACCTTTCTCCTAAAACTAACATACATTGTATCTGACATGCTCTTTGGTTCAAAATTGTGTTTATGTCGCAGCCAACTAGTTTAATAAGCCGTTTAATTAGCAGCCTAGCTGTTTAACTAAACAGTGCCGTTTAACTAGCGGCCTGAAAGATATTCAGCCGTAGCGTTTGTAAACAACATTTATTAATTCAGCTGGCTAATGTTTAGGCCATTCGTACGATAGAGTGACCATATGGCAGAAAAAAAAGAAGAAACATTGACATAAAAAATATTTCTTTAAAAATTAAATTGCTTGAGTGCAGCTAAATTCACACTCTTCCACTGTGAATTGTCATCGATCCATGTCATTTGCCAAGCTGTTTGATCAACTGGCTGAATATGTTTCAGGCCGCTAGTTAAACGGCGCTGTTTAGTTGCGAGGCTAGGCTGTTAATTAAACAGCTTATTAAACTAGTTGCCTGCGACATTTACATTGCAAGACAGTGATTTAGGCTGATTTAGTTTTTTAGGTCTGACTTACATGGAATCAATTCTATACATAAAGAGTAAAGTAATACAAAATTTGGAAGTAAGACGAGGTAGTTAAAATTAGATTAGGCTTAATTTAAACTTGCAAAAAGATATCAAAATATATGCTAAGTAAGATAGTTTGGACAGTGAAAGTTCTTTTCAAAATAAATGTAAGCAAAACGGTAGAAATTTGAATTAGAAGAATCAAAGATTATACAATAACACACTTAACCTAGGCATAATACAATTAATTAACTCTAGAAAAATATCACCAGCCTTGCGATTCTGTAACTCACTCTTCAAATTCTCACAGCGGATGCCGCTCTCAAATCGCAAGGCAGCTATTAAATATTTAAACTATAATTAACTATACACTAGTGGAGCCAAGTTTTGCGCACAATACAACATCGATTCAGCCATTTTGTCGCCACGACGGCGTCGAATAAAAAATTATTATTGCTTGTACACGTACTATCAGTGTTTACTACACCGCAAACAATTGATAAAATAAATTATATATACTTACCTTCAATTATATCTACAAATAAATGATTAAATTATAAAGTATATTTATTATCATGTGATATGTTTATAGTCTAAAATATACACAATAGTAATCACACAGAAACTACTTTTCATGGAACTAAGTTTTGTAATCTACTGCATTATTTTTTTGAATTTACTTTCTCGAATCAACATTCACAAACATTTCTGCAGTACATTCCTCTTATTCTTAATTTCGATTATAATTTTAATCATGTGTCGACGTTTTGACACACATTTCGCACAATTAATTAAAATTACATAGGGTCTAATTGGTGCTATGTTTGCATTGATCAATCGGTTCTTATAAAGACTTTACCAGTGTTATAGATCTAGAAATCATGTACCTAGTGGGTATTTTAGTATTTCCACAGACCACTACGAATGCTTTGTGCAACTTAATGGGGCATCCACACGCTGGCTGTTTGTCACAAACACCGCAAAAACAAACATCCCAAACACCACCACAATCACCCAACACAAACAGCCATCCACATGCTTGGCGAACGTTCATAACATTCCGAATCGGCAAACATGGCGACACAGCTTGTTGCAGCTATTACTTTCGGGTTGAATATTTTTTTATAAATTAAAGCAAGAGAAAGAAAAAGGAAAAAAAAGAAAGCAAAGACGATGGTGGATGATTAAAATACATAGAAAGCGTACAAGGCTTTAGACCTATTATTTGAGCTTTACTTTGCCGTGTTTTTTTTAAATTTACTTAAAAGTTACTTAAAAATGTCAGAATCGTAGGTGCTCCAATCAGACATTTTTTACGCTTTGCGCGCCAACGAAAGTGTACAAGTAAATACGTCCGCCTCCCGCAAGCTCGCGCGCATACTGATCGCTGCCAAACGTGTGGATACGTACAAACTGTTTGCCAAAATCCTTTGATCTGGCAAATAAACCGACACCGATCCAACACTGCCCAACACAACACAAACAGGCAAACAACGACAAACACCCATCCACACGTCCGTGTTTGCTGTTTGCTGTTAGCTGTTTGCCATTGTTTGTCAAGCGTGTGGATGGGCTTTGACATTTTCTCTCCTTAACGCTTTGTAACACAAGGATAATACACACTCTCTGAATATATCCATCAAATTGTTAAGCGCACAAACATACATAACACACTTATTTAACGGAGATTTTTATCAATTCTCCTAACCCTATAGGGATTTTTTTATATTCCACTTAAAAACAAACGATAAAACCTATTCTAAGAGTTTCTTTGGAGTACATATGTTAGTAAAAATAACACCCAATACTCAGTATGTTACTTTTTCTGAAAAATTCACATTTCCGTTAAATACATGCAAACATAGATTTTGTCCTTGTTTCTCAGAAAAAGCACTTTAGGTAAGATTCAAAGACAAGAGACCGAGGGACACTCTAAGCGCGCACTAACTCTGACATCTGTCAAATGCTTTGTCAATCTGAATCTTAGTACACCGAGTTTTGGGTGACACCTAGAATAATATGACGATTAAATACATTTATACATTATTATCAACCATCAACAACTTTAAACAACTATATATCTCTTGATGAAACATTAAATCGCTATATCAATTCAGCTGGACTTTGAACTAAACTAAACTGAAACGCAGCATAAGCTACAATTTTAGTTTATTTTAACTGGCATTGTCCATAACTACCGAATTCATCAAACTTTCGTGATTCTACTTTCTTCACGAATAACATTATCAACTTTCAACAATAACATGGGACTATTGATACGACGCGTTGTTCATGGACTAAACTAAACTGACTAAATTTAGTTTAGTTTGACTAACAACTATAATAGTTTTGTACAGTCAGTGCCGTAAGTGAATATTTGGAAAACTGTACATTGTGCATAGATATCATGTCGTGTGCCTTATATCGTTATAAATACTGCGTGGGACTTTACAATTGGCTATGCTGGGACGTTTATTATTTAAATGCGTTCTGAACAAGGAATGTCCCGGAATACTTTCATGAAATTTTAAAAATAATAATAACAAATTATATTTTACAGAGAGTTTTGTTTTAAAGAGTCATATTTTTTAGGCTCCAGAACCATATAAACGCATTCCAACTCCGTATTTGAGGTATCGCAAACCTCTTATAGTAGAATTAAATAAATACCAAACGTATAAGCCTGATATTCAATTTAAAATAAAACTTCTTAGGCTTTGGCCTTTTTTAAATGTTTAAATTGGCCACACAGACGAATTATAATGTTTCGGCCGGGAGCAGGCCAAGGCCTATCGACAGCTCATGCGACACAGACAAAGATATAGTATTAAAAACAAATTAATTTAAAACCATAAACCCAAAGACAGTAAGATTTAAATTCAGAACGCATTCAACCCCTTCATTCCATTGTGTCGTATTGTACTTTTTTAACCTTCAAATACCGCCAGATTGCATAGCCTATGAGAGTACCAGCGGTCGCTATAGCCAGTGCAGAGCCGACCGCGACTGGTGCCGTTTCGGATCTGGTTCGGTTGGCATCAGAACACTTCCAGGGAGGACCAAACAGACCATCACGACGGAACATAAATGGCTGGAGACGCATTTGACGAAGGTAGAGTTTAGCACGATGCGCTGTGTTGGGGTTTCTGCAAGATTCAAATTATCTATTTGACTATCATAACATAAATTAAGTATGTAATTTGTATATACACTCGGCGTCAAAAAAATCGCACCTTTCCTAAAATTCGTGTCAAGCGATTATAACTCCGAAGATCCTTCCCGTACCCTATCATTATTAGTATCATTTGAAAGCTAATGAAATCCCTTATTTGAAAACGGTAGGAAATTGGCCACCACCCCCATAAAAACAGAAAATTCTGGGAAAATGTGAAACAATGTGTATTCTGATCAAAATTACAAATAAAGTGAACAATACAAAAATTAAAAATAAACAATGACAATCCTTAAAAATTAGTCTTAAAACCTAGTGTTGCCTCTTCTATCCCTCCGAACAGCTTCCAAGCGGTCAGTCATGGACCTGATGAGCGTCACGACGTGTTCCTGGGGAATGTTGTCCCACTCCTCGATGACGGCATCTCGAAGCTCATCGAGAGTGGCAGGAGCTGGATTACGGGCCCAAACTCGCCGTTTCAGCTCGTCCCAGAGGTGCTCGATAGGATTGAGGTCGGGGCTTCTTGCTGGCCAGTCCATAACCTTGATGCCAGCTCGACGTAGGTAGTCCTCGACAATCAAGGCTGTGTGTCTCCGGGCGTAGTCGTGCATGAACTCGAAGTTGGCGCCGACAAAACCTGCACATGGGACCACATGCTCCTCCAAAACCTCGGTGATATACCGATGGGCAGTCAAAGACCCCTGGCCGCGACCATCTCCAGCTCTGGAGACGCACACGAGGTCTGTCTTGCCGTCGATAGAAATACCGCCCTAGAACATGCAGGATCCTCCTCCATACCCGACGGTTTCCACGGTGCAGGCTGGTGTAAAACGCTCCCCTGGCCGCCTGTAGACTCTCTTACGCATGTTGTTAGTGTACAGGTACACTCGGGTTTCGTCGGAGAACAGGACATTCCTCCACTGGTCGAATGTCCACGGCACGTGCGTTTCGTAAAATCGCTTCCTTTTCGTCCGGTGGATGGTAGTCAATAGGGGGCCTGTAGCAGCTCTCCGGGGCAGCAAATTCTTCTCTCACAGCCTTCTTCTGATCGTGGAGACGCTGTCAGCTGTCCTTCGAGTAGCTCAAAGCCGCTGATGCAGCTCCACAGCGTTGAAGAAGCGGTTCCGTAAAGACGTCGACACAATGGAGCGATCACCTCTGACGGTAGTGCAGCGACGTCTCCCGGATCCATGTCTCCTGATGTAACCTCCAGTCTCTTGGAACCGTTGGTATACCCGTTGCACTCGAAATCGGCTGATTTTCAGTTGCCGAGCAACTTCAACCTGCCGTAGTCCGATTTGCAGTAGGGCCACCACTTGAGCTGCCATGGTATCCATTTCACTGGGTTTTTTCTTGTTGAAGCTCTTCAGGAGTGACCTCTGTGACGTCTGAATAGCGAATAACCCATCATTGACTTTTACCCCCTCTTTATATACGCGTCCAGGGTGGTACAATTAGTGAGCCTCCAAACGCGTACATCGCCACTTTTCAATCAAAGTGCTGATGATTTGTGGTTTTTGATTTTCCGTAAACAAATGATTATTTTTTTGAAAGCTTATTAATTGAGCTTATAAATGATACTAATAATGATAGGGTACAGAAAGGATCTTAGAAGTTATAATCGCTTGACACGAATTTTAAGAAAGGTGCGATTTTTTTGACGCCAAGTGTATTATTTTATATTCTATCTTTGACTATATGTTTAGTATAATTGTTTTAAAACATGTATCTATGTAAAAAAATACTGATTTTCTTAGGATATATACTTATAGGAAAATAGTCAAACGATGATAAGTATATACTGATATGCTTTTTCTTTATAATATACTTTATACCTTATGAAGAATATAAGGGTATACCTACATAGAAGCATCGTCCTGTTACTAATTAAATCGTCATCAAAAATAAAATATATGATTTAATTAATAAGCGACATAGTTATTTTTTTTAAATTCCAATAAACATAATAATTATGTGTAATTCCATATAATTACTATAAATCCTCTTTGTATTACAAGTTTTGATAGTATCGCATTGATTGTAAACTGTAATAATATTGGTGTGTTAAAATAAATTTATAATTAAATTACTTTTATAATAAACTTTGAAATTACTACTTGACATATGGACTCACCCAGCATCCTCCTCCAACAACTCCACAATAGATTCATCAGGGCAGTCAAAGGATTTGCCAACAGGTGTGGGGAAAAGTAGCGCTCGAGGGCCAGTAGACAATGTGACCCTACGACCCTGCTTGGCCGCGTGTTCGAGTATTCGTGCGCTGGAGTTGTAGGTTAGCCTGATGCTGTCCACGTACCAGCGTTCGCCACCTGGGGTCTAAAATTTGGGGTTAAAATTAAAAAAATATTGAATCTTTCAAACCCCTAAGTGATAAGGAGTGTCCACCAAAACAATTTATTTTTATTTTTTAGATATAACCTAAATATTTGTTTTTAAAATATAACCTACAACTCTTAATTTATATCTACCCTCTACGATCAACCTCTATTTTTTATTCATTAATTAAAATCTTATGCCTTCAACTCTGAGGTTTAAATATAGAAAAATCACAGAAAAACCTAAAAAGTTTTCATTCCGGAAAACCGATCAGTCTCTTGGGATGCATACCAAAAAAATGTTCATGTTGGTATGTACTAAAAAGGAGGCTAGGCATTAAGGAGAAACGAAGTTTGCGACGGCAGCTAGTAATGTGTATGATTAAAACAGCCGAATGATTTCTTGGTTTTTGTTCTGTGACATTTCCATAATATAATGTTAAAATTTATCACCAAATAAGTGTCCGTTGTATTGAAAACGATGTTGTGTTATATGATTAAACTTTTAAAGGCTAGGTGCCTTCATAGTGTAGGCGAGTATTTAGACCATAAGTTTAACAACAATTATAAATAACTTAACTTATTATTATGACATTATGAAAATTAATCTGACATTTGCATGCCTATTTTAATATGGCTGATTGCGTGGATTTTTATAATTAATCGATCTATGTACCACTTTCTTTGCAAATAAACGATTTATTTATTGTTATTATTTATTGAAGTCAGTACATCTCCAATGAGGTTACAAAACGTTATGCTACGGGCTATCAGTTCAAGTCTGCCAACCAAAACAATTATTGTGTGCCGGAAAACCAACTGTTACCAACCTTAGCAAACGTCCATTCCAATGCGAACTCCTTGAACGAAAGAACCAATGTTTCCAAATCACTATCCTTGCAGGATCCACTAGCAACAGCGTTATTAGGCACAAAAGTGTTGGCGTCCTGTTAAAACATAAATAACAAACAATTATTACAACATCTTAACATATAACTCGAGTCTCATTCACATATTTAGATCTTCAAATGCTTTGTCGCTATTGTGGCAATTGCTGAAAGCAATCGTAACGTCGATTTATGTAAATAACGTTTTAATTTTGATTTTATATCTGACAAAGTTTTATGTAAATGTGTAATAGTCACGTATTTCAAAGACAATAAAATAAAATTAATAAATCAGTGGCGCTACAACCTTAGGTCTTGGTCTCAGATTTCTGAATCTGTTTCATGATCATTTTTAAATCTAAAAGGCAAGTAGGTGATCAGGCTGCAGTGCCTGACACACGCCGTCGACTTTTTGGGTCGAAGACATGTCGGTTTCCTTACGATGTTTTCCTTCACCGTTCGAGCAAATGTTAAATGCCCACATAGAAAGAAAGTCCATTGGTGCACAGCCAGAGATCGAACCTATGACCTCAGGTATGAGAGTCGCACGCTGAAGCCACTAGGTCAACACAATTCAAAGACAATATGCAATAACAAATAAACTCTCGGAATAAATAATTAAAAAACAAAGGAGCAATCAGCAAATATTTATTATGGTTTCAAGTGTATTAATTGAGAAATTATGGTAACATAATTGACTTTTTATAAATTTATATAATATTTCAATAAATTCGGTTTCTAACATTATTGAAATTTGTGCCATAAGTGTAATAATATTAACAATCGTTAGTCGTAACGTTTTACAAAAGGACCTACCTAACAAAATTCGTTACGTAATAGTTGAACGCTCCCAAAAGCAGGTAGCAAAATAGCAGATAACTAAATTAAAAAAAAAACTTACAGCGCGCTCATTAAGTTTGGTCATGTAAGAGATGTCAAGTAAAGCGTCCACAACCAGTAATATGCATGTCTCCCCTCCACTCCCTTGAAGACGGTAGGTTGCTGTCAGAAGGCTCCGTTCAGTTGGTGGTTCCTAAAGAAAAGACGTATGAAACATGTTCTGATGGGTTTCAAACGAGAGATCTTTAGTAATTCTTTATAATCTTAATATATATAAATTACGTGTCACGTTGTTAACTTTGTCCGCTATTGACTCCTAAACTACCGAACCGATATCAATCAAATTTGCACACCGTGTGCAGTTTGATCCAACTTAAAAGATGGGATAGCTTACATCTTAATTTATACGCGCAATATTATTTTATTGCAAAATATTTGTTTATTATTTGATAGTCACAATTCTAACAGATGGCGCTGTGTTGAAAGTACCAACGTTTCACATAAGCTACAATTAAATGGCATAACCACCAAAAAAAAGCATGGTGGTCCCCATGACTGGTGTTCTCCTACCGTTTCCCTTGAATAGTTTGCTACTATGTAATATAACAAAAACATTAGCCACAGCAACGCTTGGCCAAGTCTGCTAGTATAAATATAAAAAGCCTCTTATTTCATGCGATATAACCGAAACACTATGTACAATTATTCGTTCTTGTATTAAAGCAATTGAATTCAACATTGCTATATAATCAATATGCATTATAGCTTGTGTTACGAATAAAAACCAAATTCTTATATTTTAATTGTCAGTCTTTATATACATTATGCACCAAAAAACCAATCCACGAAAGATCATTGCAAAATGTATATCTTGACAATATTCGTAACATATAATTTAATTCCAGGAGTAATGGTTACATTAACAAGAATAAAAATTAAATAAATGAATTTCTTAGACCAGATAGAATTTGAATAGCTCAAAAAGTAAACTTCGGCCATTCTTAAAAAAAATCAACCTGATTGCACCGTTTTAACTAAAGTGCTCATTTCATTACAGCATACACACACATAACATTATAATAACATAATCATATTCTTTTCTGTCAATTTGTATTTCTTTATTTTACAAAATAATGTAATATAATCACAATATGTTACCTTAGAAAACCGCTGTGGTTTGTAATAATTAATTAAAAGACTGTTATTAGACCAGACTCCTAAAAAACACACTTGCCAGGCTTCTGGTACTGTGTCCATAGGCGACGACGTTACTTGTCAAATTAGCCCAAACCAATTTGCCCCTTGTTTTATAAAATAAAAAAAAATATGTTTATTATGGAATATAAGATACAGGTATCACTTATTCCACGTCATTAAATTTGAATCGGTAGACATCCCTACTCATCGGCAAAGTAGACAGAGAAATAAAGACTGATTTAGCTTTTAGGAATTAGGGGGTTAAACTCAAATTTTTAATATACTTATTCAGTTATTGACACAATCTACTATATTAAACAAGCATACTATTTAAAATACCATTTTTTGTGAGCTTGAATGAATTTTGTAATAATAAAGTATCATACCGTTGATCCAGGGGCTATAGTAGTTTTGCTGTATTTCGTAATCCTGGGTCGTCGCGTCGATGCTTGGTTATCTAATTGCAGGCTGTGTACCGAACAGACCACCATCACTGCCATGAAATACCACATAGATACTGCATTACACAAACATTTAATAAAATTTTAAATAAAAAATATACTACTAAATATGGCGATATAATACGAATAGATATTGCATATGTGAGATTGGAAGATAACCTTATTTAATACTATGTTTGATAATTGTCTTCGATATCGAATACACTTTAGTCAACCATTATATCGATTCAATCAACAAAGTTAAAACGCTTAAAGGTCAATATAAAGTCTAATTAAAGTTTTTATTGTCCTATTTTTATTTCGCTTGTTTTTTATAACATAAAATATACGAAACACATTTCAGGATCTTTCACATAAATATTCCCAAACTGTCGCAACAATTTGGAACACGGATTTCAAGATTTAGCACGTTTCCCAAAGTACATGAAGATTTAAACGCGCGCTCACAAATTCAGATCACATGTTACTGAGAATACAGGGCTAGCGCTGTACGCAACACTATAGAAACATCGATATAAAGCCAAGAATTTCACATTGCTTACCAAAAACTAACAGAATCAAACAATGAACGTGGAACAATCATAACATACTTTTTTCGAATTAATTTATTTTTAAAATAGGGAATTAATACGGGTCCATTTAACTATTACTAACTTTACATACATATAGATCTTTAAAGAAATTATATTTGATTCTTTGAAGAAAGACTGTCCCTTTAATAATAAACGGAAATAAATAATCAATGATTTAAAATAATCTTCTCTTAAATGTGATATTTTTTAAATAAAAAGCAGTATTGACCTAGTAGCTTGAGCGTGCAATCCCTTCGTAGCGTCGAACACCGGCTGTGAACCAATTAATTTTCTGTTTATGTGCACAGACAGACGCTCATAAGTGAAGAATACATAAGAAATACGCCTTGCCTTATCCAAAAAGTGTCTAAGCCACAGAGGGCTCACCTACTTGCCTTCAAAAAAAAACAAATGACCACGAAACAGATACAAAAATCTGAAGCCAAGACTAAGGATTGTAGCGCCTCTGTTTTATTTACCACAAATAAATCAATGTATGTCCCAAAGTACAGTTAAATTTCATCAAAAATACATGTAAATTGGTAGAACCTGCCTTAAAGCAATACTTGATAATAAACAAGAAGAAGAGAAATAAAAAAACTCAGACAAAAACAAATATTTCATATCGCGTATTTTCCCATCACTATTTTATGAATGGAAAATTATAGCGCTCGGAGATTAATCCTGTTGAGACGGTTAGGATATGTAGGACGTATTAATTGAAACTAAATATAGGTAGGTACATGTATAAAGGCCTAGAGAATTTTGATATAGCCTATAAGTTACATAATACGAAGATTGAAATAGAACTAAATTGGGACATTCAAACCATTGGAGCGCGGTATTAGATATTTCGATTGAATGTAACTTATTTATAAATGAACTAAAAGCCATAAATAGTTTATTATTTTTAAGATATTCAATTTGCAAAAAGAGTACAAGAGTGTAAAAGTAACAGTATATCTAAGCTGTATTACGTTTATAAGAGGGCAATGTGAAACAAATGTAAGACTATTGTACGATTTTATTTTCTTTAACAAAAACTTGACGACACTATCTGTCTATCATTACTTGCTTAGTGGTCAGAATACGTTACGAATATAATTTACTTAACCTACATTGTAATAAAAAAATAATTAAAAATTAATAAAAAGGAATTTTAAAAAAAATGGTCCCTGTGGCAGTGTACCTTTAACGCTGGCAGCATTTCCTCGCTGTATTGCGATACTTATTAGTTGAGCGAGTAAAGCAACAACTCGGGTGTCACCGGTACAATCTACCAGGCGCCAACTTAAATCTTTAATTAGTGTCTAGCTTAATTATACAATAATGTTTAACAATTGTTATCCCATTTCAGTTAAACAATGTAAAACTTATATATATTTAGAATTTTACGACCCTTCAAAATTTTAATAATAAATTTTAATTTTAATGCTTTTTAAGGAAATAGCAAAAAGGTTGAAGCTACCTCGGACAAAGAATTAGTCTAGCTATTCTAAGGGAGAACGCTGCCATTATCTTCGGAACCTTGCCTAAAGGGACTCCTTTTAATAATATATTTTAGTTATTATATTTTAAGGTTAGTTATTGCTTTTAGTTAAGAAAATTGTTAATAATTTATGAAGCTAAGTTTTGAATGTTGTTATAGACATACTACCTTAGTATATGATAAATTACATTGTCATTTATAAATTTTAATTATAGTGATTTCTAATAAAATAATTATTTTGAATGCTCTTAAAGTCTGTGTTCCGTAAACAGACATGCAAATTGAACCAGAATTTTTATCTTATCAAACCTGTCACGATTTGATTTCAAAACATCGCTCCAGCTTATTGTCTGATGTAATCCACAAAAAAGCCTTATAAGAACATCGTCGTAAAGAAGGTAATGATGATGTGACAAGATAAATTATGCTTTTAGTATAAACAGGAGGTATTCGAGCCGTGAACCTTGAATAATTTTAGTAAAATGAAATATAACGTCACATTGAATACGTCACATTAATACGCAAACGGGCCATTGACACTCAATGCCAGGAGAACGCGAGTGCGTTGCCGGCCTTTTTCTTGAAGGACCCTAAGTCGAATTGCTAATTAAATTAATTTGGTTTAAACCAAATTAATATACTCTCCTTTAAGTTGTTCTAAAATTATTAGGATCATATAATTTATAACCTTTCAAATACGTATTCTATCATTTATCTATATCACCTTTAAAGGTGATACTCCTTTACTCCTAACACTAAAGAATATTTTAACAGTTGTCTACGAATCTGTCTTGATGAAAAAGAGACATAATTCCATGTTAATATTAAGTAAGTGAACCGTTTTTGGATGCTATTTACGTCAGTATGTAAAATTCTGGCTTCGTACATTTGCAGGTGAGGGAAAGAGAGCCGGAAATATTATTATTTATTTTGTAAGTCATAACTCAAGAACGGCTTGTCAAATGTTTATGATTCGTGTGTTTTTGGATTCGTCTTCATATGATAAGAATAATTATTAAACTGTGGTACTCATCATTCATTCGGTATTAAACATTAATCTATCGTTCATTTTTTATAAAATATATTACGAAACACGTAATATTGTCTATGCCTTCTCTTCCGATTATATTTTACCGATTCGAACGTTGCTGAACACATGCTGTCAAGGTACTTAACTGAAGAGTGCAACACACATCGCCAATATAGCGAATGTTTTGCTGGTCCGTCATAAAAACACTTTTGATTGTGTAATTGAACTTAATTTTTATTCATTTTAAAATCTTGAACGTTATGCGAAACGAGGTTCGCCGGCCAGCTAGTATTACAAAAATTCAACTAATATTGAATAAATTTAAAAGAGAAAATAATGTTGCGATATATTATAATTATTAAAAATATTAACTGAATTTCTCTTGCTGACCACGATTTATAAGGAAGACTCAACACGTAATAAAGTTACGCTTGTGGTAAAGTAATTTAAACTCTAGCTTAATAATTTATCCTGCAAATGGGCGTAACTACGACAGCCTATAAATAACCAGATTCCATAGTAGTTTAGTACAAATACTGTCTGTGATGTGATGGGAAGGGGAGGGGAGGGGAGGGGGGGGGGGGGGGGGGGGGGGGGGGGGGCTGTACTGTACTGTACTGGTCATTTTAAGTTTAAGTTTTCTAATATACTGTAATTTCTAGATTGCATACTATCTATCTACGTTGAAGTACATTTATAGGTTAATATGTAGTTCTAGGTATTTAGCGTGGGAGATAGCGTTCCCAAAATAGCTAATAATAGGTTATATGGCGATGACGTACACTTTATAAGTAGCATACCATGACCAGATTACCATGAAGGTACGATGAGAATGTTTCCATATCTCACTTTATATTTAGATTATATTGTTTCAATAATTCATGGAAGCCCAAAATCCATGTAATGGTAATAAATATTTTTAATAAACATAAAAATAAAATATTATTATGGAAATAAGATACATTATCACTTATTCCACTATTAAATTTGAAGGCATCCCTACTCATCGGCAAGAAGACAGAGGGTGTAGGCCGGAAAAAGCCGCTAAAACTCTCGGTACTCTTTTTAAAACACAAATCATCAAACAACACTTATTTAAAACAAATATCGCAAATTGATTAGAAGTAGCCTGTCTAGCACTAGTCCCAGGCCCTTTTATCAACTAGATAATCGTTGACTTTATAGTAAGCCTTTTACACAGCTTTTCTTTAATACATTTCTTGAAATTTATTGAAGGGCAGTGATAAAAGAGCCTCTGGGATTTTAATTAAAGAAGAGTATCCCTTCCCCAAAAAAAAAAATATTACTAACTTTAGATAGTCTAGTACGGGGAAATTGCAGCAGCCTGCCCTTCTTCCCGGCGTTTGTTTCGTTGGGTGTATTAACATTGTGCGTATGTTCTAATTCTTAGTAAACTTATCACTATTTTAATTTGATTACATACATAATATTTTCATAAATATATTGCGAGGGAAAGGTAAGTATATTAATTTCCTTGAATTTATCTCTAAGAGATTCCCTACATTTTAAATTATAGATTGCACGAATAGCCCTCTTCTCAGGATGAAAATAGTTTCGACATCACAGCATGACCCCATAATAATAAGCCATAAGTCATTAAGCTATGAAAGTAACTAAAATAAACAAGTCTAGCTGTATCGACATCAGTTAGTGAGCGAATTTTTTTAACCGCGTAGGCTGCAGAACTAAGTCTCTTCGCCAATCCGTTAATATGAGGGGACCACTGAAGTTTTGAATCCATGGTGATTCCGAGAAATACAGTTGTATCATCCAGATTCACATCTCCTCCCGTTTATAATTGGTCTAGTATCCATAACAACCCTCTGCATTTTTGCACAAAATTTAATGCATTTTGTCTTTCTTTTTTTAAGTAGAAGGTTATTCATACTAAACCAATGGACATGAAGAAGAGCATTGT